TGCTGTAGTTACGATTGAGGTATTGAGAATGTTCCATGTTAGGGACCTACGACTATATATTTATTAGTTTCCATTTGAAGCATAACTTACTTTGCAAACACTAAATTCTTGGAGTTATGCATTTTTTCTTTAATTGCCAGGAAAAATGCAATATTCTACAAACTTTGTGAAAAAAAATTATAACACCATAACATGAAAGGCTTAGGATGTTCACATTATATGGCTGAAAGCTAAACGTGCCTTTTTCCTCCTTAGCTTTTATCTGACAAGTATATACGATCATTCTATATTTGAAGCCTTCAGCAAAGTGGTGCAGAAACTGATTCCACAACTCCCAACACTGGAAAACCTACTTAACATCTTTATCTCAGTAAGTATGTATGTCCTTTCTAGATTTATGTAGATAAATTTTATTTATGAATGTGCTTATGATTCCCTTCCATAAGCATTTGATTGTGTAGGATCCTGAGTACAGAGTATGCCAACTTTCAGGCGAGTCAGTGGTGTTCTGACTTGTGAGGATAGCCATTGTCCCTACTAAGACCTAATAAACAGTTTAGCAACAGTTTTCTAAATAGAAAATATGGGATCTTCAACTTTATTTGTTAAGGTAATCCAACTCATGAGGAAAGGTAAGTCCCTGTTCGCGACCAGAAAGGCCAATTTTCTGGACAGGGCTTTAAATTAAGATTGCTGGGGGACAGGGATACACAATTTCAAACATGTCCAGGGACCAACATACAAGTAAGCCCTATAGATAGGAACACTGGGAGAGCCACTTTTGTGGGAGCTGATGGAATTGTTCTCCATCAGCAGGACAGGAAGATGAGGGACTCAGGTGCCTGTATACTAACACCAGGAGCATGGAGAACAAGCAGGAGGAGATAGCCCTCCTGCTCTCCAGTGTGCATTATGATCTAGTAGGGATTACTGAGACCTGGTGGGACTCCTCACATGACTGGAGTGTAGCTATAGAAGGCTACACCCTGCATAGAAGGGACCGGGTGGGGAAAAAAGGTGGAGGCATTGATCTTCATGTGAAGGAGCAGTACGCCTCCTTGGAGGCCGACATCAGCTCCAAAAACGGGGAGGAACTCAATCTGGAGTTCACCTGAGAATTGCCTGAGGCCGCACGTGCATGTGATGTGGTCGTCATGGGCAATTATAATTATCCAAACATCTCCTGGGAGGAACTCTTGGCCCAGTTGGATTGGTCGCAGTCCTTCCTGACCAGTGTCAAGGAGCTCTTCCTGACTCAGGAGGTGCATGGGCCAACCAGAGGTGACGCTCTGCTAGACTTGGTCCTGGCCATAGGAGTTGACCTGGTGACCAACTTAAATATAGAAGGAAGTCTTGGCGACAGCGACCATAAAAACATCATGTTCACAGTCCGATGTAAGGCAGACAAATCAGATAGCAGGATTGGAGTTCTGGATTTCAAAAATATAAATTTCAATGAGTTTAGGTCATTAGTAGGGCAAGTGCTGCAGGACCAAAGACTGAAGGGGAAAGTTGTGCACAAAGAGTGGTTGTTCCTTAAGGACATGATCATTGAAGCACAAAGGAAGTCCATTCCCATGCAGAGAAAAGGTAACAGAAGGCCTGGGAAGCCCTCTTGGCTAAACAGGGAAATCACTGTCCTCTTAAAAAAGAGGTTTATAAACAATGGAAGCTAGGGGTGGGCCCCAAGGAGGACTATTCCATGATGGCCTGCATTTACAAGGAACAGGTAAGATGGTATAAAACGGCGACTGAACTTAGCAACAGGAATCAAGGACAACAAGAAGTCCTTCTTTAGGTACATAGCGAACAGGAGGAAAACAAATGGGAGTGTGGAGCCATTGCATGACAACTCAGAAGAGCTGGTTACTGGCACCCAGGAGAAAGCTGAACTCCTGAATGACTACTTTGCCTTGGTCTTTCACCAGACCAACAGGAAAGCCATGCCAGAGTAGAGGATGAGCACAGTAGGAATAACTGCCTTCCTACTATCGATGTAGAATTGGTATATGAGCAGTTAATAAAATTAGACATATATAAGTTAGCAGGACTGGATGATCTTCATCCAAGAGTGCTGAAGGAGCTGGCTAAAGTCTTTGCGAAACCCCTGGCAAAACT